GGGTGAAGGTCTCAGGGGGTACCTCATTCTACAGGGCAGGCATTACTATAGAGAAGCCATCGTTCCAGGATCCCAATAAATATTGTTCAATTGAAGGAACCTCAAGTAGGCCAACCCTACCAGACCAAATCCAGACCAGACATATGAGAGACAGATAGTCCTTCAAATAACCAGACTCCATGCAAAGGTCTCCAAGCTTGACAACTTTAAGGCTTGTGGACTTCAACTCCCCAAATTCCCTACCCAGCATGGGCAATTCAGGGAGTTGAAGTCCACAGGTCTTAAAGTTGTCAAAGTTTGAAGACTCTTTGCTCTATTCTATGCCACAAAAGTCTTTAGATGATATCTACACCCGTTAAAATGGAAGCCCTGCCCCCATCATACATCCGCTACATGCTACCTGATATCCCCTCCCCATTTTTTGATAGATTCCAAAATAGGAATATGATAAAAACAGAAAGGTTTAAAACGCATGCATTACTGTAGGGGTCCCCAAACCCCGGGCCGTGGACCGGGCTGTACAAACAAGCAAAGCCCCACCTGTGGGATGCAGGCAGCACCTGAAACCATACCCCCTCCGGTCCATGGAAAAAAACTCTCTCCATGGAACCGGTCCCTAATGCCCAAAAGCAGGGGTAGGCAACCTTGGCTCTTTTATGACTCGTGGACTTCAACTCCCAGAATTCCTGAGCCAGGTATGAGCCAGCTCAGGAATTCTGGAAGTCCAGAAGTCATAAAAGAGCCAAGGTCGCCTACCCCTGCCCAAAAGATTGGGGGGCACTGCACTACTGTATTCTTCATTATGGAAGAGAATGGTATATCAGGGTTCTTTCTCCATGAGGCTATTCAATGGCTAGTACTTTTGCTGATGCCAGACATAGTAACCAGGTAACAGAGATAAAAAAACCAGATGTATAGGGGGCAGGCTGCAAACAAAACATCTGAAAGGGACCAACGTGGGAAAAACTGGACAAGACACTTCTCTAAGGATGTCTGATGGAGGGCAACGGCTTGCATATTAAGGACAGCCCTGGAACTGACTATTTTCAATCATTTTTTGGAGGAGGGAACCTTTTAAAGTCAAACCTGTGATAACTTCAACTCATTCCAAAACCACGCCTTAGTTACTTAGTAGGATCTTGAAATCTTCCAAAACTATGAAGTACAGGGTTGTGAAGTCAACTTTCCAACGCTGCTTTTTTTTTTAAAGATATGTTGAGACTACAACAGTCAACCCTGGAGGGAATTTTAGAGGTTGCTACGTAAACATCCCTGGAAGCATCAGGTTAGAGAAGGCAGTTAAAAATAATTACATCTGGAATTCTGTTAAACCAGTCAGGATAATCACGAGTCTTCTGTTAATGCTGAAGATGTTACAAGATCTGGTGCTGAACCAAAATTTGATCTATGTACCCATTTCCTAACGGCATGTGGTTGAAAGTAACTAAGCCTGTGGATAAAACATAGGACACTATCTTATATTGTGTTAAAATAGTTTTGACTCTACTGCTCTCTCTAGCAATTGCAGTCCAATATTTCAGATGGAGAGAGATCTTTCCTACAGAATCCACCAAATTGGATCCTTTCAAACAGAAGAGGTGTGGAGTTGAAGAAGGGTCTTCAAGAGCATGTTCTACTACAGGTTTATGGTCCTTCCTCAAAGCAGTCATGTATCTTACTGAGCATCTGTTATTGTGCTATAGCTTCATATTTTTCACTGTTCAACCCAGAAGCTAAGACCTTCACTAGGGATTTAGGTATCTTCGGGCTGTGCCATACATTCTCCTCTGAAGTCAAAAAAACTGTCCTGCCTCCAACACACAAAAACCTTGCCACGTCAATAAAGCGATTTTAAGTGGATGCATACTATATTCATGTCTTCCCTTCCCTTCCAAGAGATGGCTTGTTGGGAATTGAAGTCCACAAGTCTTAAAGTTGCCAAGGTTGAGGACCCCTGCACTATAGGATCCAGCACAACAGCAATTATTAGTGTTGCAGAACTCTGGGGAAAACAAAATTGGTCTCCAAAATATGCAGCGATTACTCTAGATTTTTATATAGTAACCAAAGACAAATCTGCAAATTTTGTAGGTCGTGGGCCTATGAAGATCAACTATATACCTCTAAATGTGCAATGATTGATTTTCTTCCACAACTAAAGACCAGATATGCACTTTTGCTATTCTTCAGTTGCCTCTTCAAAATTGGCCACGCTCTTAAGAGACGTGGGACCTTCTCTTGTGCCTACAACCCCCACGGATTGGACCACAAAGCCTTCCAAACATGACCAGCTGAGGCGGCCTCTGGAGCAGAAGGCAGAAGTGCAAGGATGCTTGGTAAGTTCCACCTGGCTTCAGTTGTAAGCAAAAGAAATACAGGTAGTCCCTGACTTAATGATCAGTCACAACTGGGACCACAATTATTGAGTTGTACCCAATCCCACGAGCTTTTTTTTTTTAATCATGGTTGTTAAATGAATCACTAGAGTTTAGTGAATCATGCAATCGTTAAACCAATCTGTCTTTCCCTATTGACTTTGCTTGTCAGAAACTCACTGAGAAGGTTGTAAATGGTGATCAGATGACCCTGGGAGATGGCAACCGTTGTAAATAGATGCTGGTTGCCAAGCATCCAATTTTAAGCATTTGATTGTGGAGATCAATCAGACAGAAGAGAGTTGGAAGGGACCTTGGAGATCTTCTAGTCCAACCCTCTGCTCAAGCAGGGGATCCTATACCCTTTCAGATAGGTGGCTGTCCAATCTTTTCTTAAAAACCTCCAGTGTTACAGCATCTACAACTTCTGGAGGCAAGCTGTTCCACTGGTTAATTGTCCTCCCTGTTAGGAAGTTTCTCCTTAATTCCAGGTTGCTTCTCTCCTTGATTAGTTTCCATCCATTGTTTCTTCTTTTGCCTTCTGGTGCTTTGGAAAATAAATTGACCCCCTCTTCCATGTGGCAACCTCTCAAATACTGGAACACTGCTATCATGTTCCCCCTAGTCCAGTGGTTCTCAACCTGTGGGTCGGGACCTCATTTGGGGTCGAACGACCATTACACGGGGGTCGCCAAACAAGGCTGTCCGCCATTTTTTCCCCTTTTCTTTGGCCATGCCCCTGGCACCCGATGATATATAAGTGGTTGGGGGTCACCACAACATGGGGAACTGTATTATGGGGTCGTGGCATTAAAAAGGTTGAGAACCACTGCCCTAGTCCTTCTTTTCTCTAGACTGGCCCTACCCAAATCCTGCAACCGTTTTTCATATGTTTTAGTCTGCAGGCCTTTAATCATCTTAGTTGCTCTTCTCTGCACTTTTTCCAAACTCTCAACATCTTTTTTTGTAACGCGGTGACCAAAACTGGATGCAGCCTTCCAGATGTGGCCCCACTAAGGCTTTATAAAGCGGCACTAATACTTCACATGATTTTGATCCTATGCCTCTGTTTACACAGCCTAGGATTGTATGTGCGAGGAAGGGCCGTTAAGTCACTTTTTTCAGCGCTGTTGTAACAGTCACTAAATTAACAGTCGTAAGTCAAGAACTACCTGTTCTGGCACTGTAGCTACAGAAGCCCAGATGCAGAGATTCCACGCTCAGGGTCTGGGGTTCGAATTATATTCAAAAGTTCATGCATGTCAGAAGCAGGGAGAGGAGAACTGAACACAACCCTCTCCAGACCTGCACACTTATGACCACTGCGGCAAAGCCAATGGTCCCGTGACCACAATTTAGACTCTTGGCAAACTGACTCGTACTTATGACCGTTGCACTGTCCCAGGGTCACGTGATCCCCTTTTGTGACCTTATGACAAGCAAAGTCAAGAGGGAAGCAGATTCCCTTAAGAGCCAACCTTACTGACTTAACAACCGCAGGGACTCACTTCACAAGTCGGGCAAGAACGGTCGTAAAACGGGGCAAAGGCCGCTTAAGCAAATGTCTCACTTTAGCCACACCAATTTGGAGCTCGGTTGTGGTCGTAACTTGAGGACTACCCTTGTAAGGGAACAGCGGCCACCGAATCTAAGGCATCCACTAGGCCCCTTGGCCTCAAGGTGGGCCATAAGCCCCACAACCACTCAGTACCTCTGCCCATTTTGCAGGCAGGGCATCCACCGTCCAACCTCAAAGGTCCACGATTTTAGGCCACAGAGCTCAAGAACAGGCTTTTGCCCCAGGAGAAAGAGATCTGTCTATCTGGCTCTCCAATCAAGGCTGCTTCACAAAACCAGGGATCTCTCTTGTGACAGGTCAGCATCTTCCCAACCAGGCCTGGCCTTGCAGAAGAGGCTCAGAAATTCTGGAGTGGGGAAGGGGTGGACACAGGGGTTTTCTTCCCCTCCCCCACCCCTACCAGGGGTTTTCTTCCCCTCCCCCACCCCTCCCGCTCGCAAGGAGGAAGGGGGCGAGGCGGAGGGTGGCTTTCCGCCGGGAATTGGAGGGGGGAAGGGAAGGGGGGAGGACAATAAACGTTATCAGGCTGACCAGCCGAGGCTTCCTCTCCTTTACAGCCTTTTCGCTACAACCACCCGCCCGCCCCCATCTTCTCCTCTCCCATCCACGACTCGGGGGGGGGCGGGTAGGTGGGTGGGGTGGCTGCTTTGAAAGGCCTGGCCATGAGAAAGAGGAAGAAAGGGGGTGTGTGCCTGGGGGGGGGAGATCCCACTGGAGAAAGAGCCCCCTCTTCCTCCCCCATTTGAACGGGGGGGGCGTTCAGAGGGAAGAAAAGAAGGATGCAGGCGAGGAGGGGCGGCGGGCGGGGGAGGCTTGTCGCTCTCCTCCATCCCCGCGTTGCCAACACAAAGGCTCCATCAAGAGGCGAGCGCGAAAGGCGAAGCGGCGGCCAACCCTTTGCGGCAACGGGGAGGGGGGGTGGGGAAGGGATGGGCCTGGCTTGTGGGGTGGGGGGGTGGGGAAGGGGCCGCGCCGGGTGTTCCCCCCCCCCCCGGCCCCCGCCCCCCCCCCATCTCATCCGTCCCCTCTTCCCGCTTGCTACTCACCCGGGCCGAGCCATGCGGGTAGCCTTTCATTTTGGCGAGACCAGATCCCCGGCTTTGTATTCGCGGGGGCCTGGGACGACCATCCGGGGTCCGATCCAGCTTTGGCCCGCCCCGTCTCTCTTCCGAGGCCACCCCCAGCACCCTCCCAGGCCTTGCCCGCGATCCGCCGAGCTGGTGGAGGGGGGGGGGGCAAAAGAGAGAGAGGAGAAAGAGAGAAGAGAGGAGAGGGAGGAGGGAAGGGCGGCGGGGGAGGGGAAGATGCAAGGACTGCTGCCCCTCCCTCCGCCCCCGGGGGTGGGGGGGCGAGAGGAAAGGCGAATCGGTTTCCGGGGAAGGAAGGAAGCCTCGGGCGGAGCGGCGGCCGAAAGGAGGAGGCGACGACAGCGGTGGAAGAAGAAGAGGAGGAGGACAGGGAAGAAAAGGGAGCTGAGAAAGAGAGAGAGAGAGAGAAAGAAAGAGAGGGGGGGGGGGGGTGGGGTGGGGGGGAGAAGGGAAAGACCACCTCCGTGCGTGTGAGTGAGGGGAGAAAAGAAATGAGAGATGAGAAAGAGAAGGGGTTGCCTGCGTCCGTGTGTCTCTCTGTGTATTTGTGTGTCTGTCTCTCTTCTGTGTGTGTGTGTGTATGCGCGCCGTGCAAAAGGAGGAAGAGAGGGCCCCCGGGCCTTGTCTGCCCCCCCTCCAGCGATAAGCCGCTTGCGGGGCGTCCCACAAGGCGAGGGGCTGCGGAGTGGGAGGGTGCGGATGCAAAGGAGGGAGGGGGATGAGGAGGGGGGGTTCCAGGCTGAATCCCCTCCCCAGCCCGGCCTCGGGAACAAGGTTGCCCGAAGACTGGGGCCGCCTGCGCTGCGCTCTCACCTCCCTCCTTCTACGGGCTTCGCCCATCCTGGCTCTGGCCGCCGCCGCCGCAGCAAAGAGGGGGAATTCCTTTCTCTTGCACGACGGAACCCTGGATGCCTCTCCCTCCCTCCTCCTTTCCCTCCTTCCTTCCTTCCCTCTTTCCTTCCTTCCTTCCTTCCTTCCTTTCCTTCCCGCTCTCCTTTTTTTTGGAGGGGGCGCTCAGTTGGCTCGCTCGCCCGGCGTCCCCTTCCCCCGCTGTCTTCTTTCCACCACGCGGACATGCGCCCAACCGCAGCCCCGCCGGCCAGAAGGTCGTCCTTCTCCTCTCCGTGGCGCGCGCAGGGACGGACAACCCCCCTCTCCCGTCCGGCGCGCCCCCGCCGAGCGCGCCAGGCGAAGCGTGGCGGGCGGGGTGGGGGGGACCAGCGGAGGAGGGACCCTTTCTTCGCCGTGAAAATGGTTCAGGGGAGAGAAAACGCCGGCCGAGCGGGAAGGGGAGAACCGGTACCGGCCTCGCATTCCTTCCCCCCCTCCCCATTCCGCCTCCTTTGTATTCGTGCCTTTTCTCTGCGGGCGAACGCAAAGCCGAGGGCACAAGAGAGCGCTGGGGCACCGGGGGGGGGGCCCGGAGTCCCCCTCCGATGAGCTAGAAATGGGGGGTGTAGGGGGAGGGGGGGCTTGTGAGTTGAGTGTGCAAAGGGAGTGGGCAAAAAACCGGGCCCACGGGTTGAGTTTTGGTGGGTGGGTGGGGGGGATAAACTGAAGTTGATCTAAAAGCTAAAGCCAATTTTTAGCTCTCGAATCGAGAAGGGCGGGGGTCGAGTCTCGGGCAGAGTTCCCCCCCCCCGGGGGGGTGTTGGAAGACGGGGAAGAAGATAACAGAAACAAAGCCGTGTTGGTTATTGCACGTTTTTAATGGTGGGTATCTTTCTGTTATTTCCTCCATGTTTGCAACTGCTTTTAAGTGGCTGCACTTGTTTAACACAAACACAACAACATCAAAAGGGAGTCGACTCAGGAATAAATTAAAAAAAAATGGCAACTTTTGTCTTTACAACTCATCTCCTTTTGAAGTGTATTAATGCCATTAAATTATTAATATAGTTTTTAAAAAGCCCCAAACTGTCCTTCTGACATCTTCATCTCCCCATAGATTATAATAATTAATCTGCAAAACAAATTGCCTGTAAGCAAAAAAACTAATCATAAAATAGAGGAACAGTCATAGGAAAATGATAAAAATTAAACTGCTCTGGAACTCAACAAAAAAAAACAGACAATCAACACACCCCCAGACTTAAACTTGTCAATAGAAAGACAAAAAAAGTCTGGATAGTGGATGTGGCAGTGCCTGGAGATCAGAATAGAAAGAAGAATGGAGACGATAACAAAATACTACAAATAGAAATAGAAGAGTGGCAAAAGCACAAGGGTGAGTACTAGTCATACGCCTTGGGTGCAATTCCAAAAAACTGGAGCACACTTGAACACCATTGGCTTGACAAATTCGCTATTAGTCAATTGTCTGCTTCCTCCTCGACGATACTGTAATACCATCAAACACCAAATCTCTGCTCTAGATTGATTAAATAATAATAATAATAAGAATAAGGGACTAGATAGGTAGACAAAATGCCAAATCCAATAACATCTGGCTGACTGTGCGATGAATCGATAAGTTGGAAGATACTTGGAGAATATCTATTCCAACCCCCTGCTCAGGCAGAACCCTATACCATTTCCAGACAAATGGTTGTCCAATTCTCTTCTTAAAAACTTCCAGTGTTTAGACGCGCCCACAATTTCTGGAGGCAGGTGTTCCACTGATTAATTGTTTCTACTGTCAGGAATTTCTCCTTAGTTCTAGGTCTCTAAACTTATGCCTTTTTGGTTGCCTGCACTAGCATTAAAATCTCAGTTCAAAATGTTGTGCCTGCTGTGGAACCTCTAATGAATTGGTGAGATGTCCTTGTGATTGTGGTATTGTTAACTAAATTTGCGGAGGTAATTGCACCATTGATTGCTATCTTCACTCTAAATTAAGGAGAAATTCCTGACAGTGAGAACAATTAACCAGTGGAACAACTTGCCTCCAGAAAGCTGTGATGCTCCAACACTGGAGGTTTTTCAGAAGAGATTGGACAATCAATGGGACCGTGGTGGGCGAACCTATGGCACGTGTGCCATAGGTGGTACTCCTGAGCCCTCTCTATGGGCAACGCGTGCCGGTTGCCCCAGCCCCACCTCCCCCTGTGGCCTCCTCCTCACCAGCCCGCCCGAGGAGAATCGCGCGCGGTCGCGCGCGAAAATCGCGGCGGTCGGCGCGTCCGTCGGCGCGACTCGCCTTCCTGGGTGTGGCCGCACACAGCAGCCCAGCCAAGGATATGGCAGCCAGGGGCAGCGGGGACAAGACGCCACCCTTGCGCCCCCCATCGCAAGCAGTTGATGCTGTGGGCACAGGTGGAGGCTGTGTGCTGCCATGGCAGGTGCAGGGCCGGCTGGTGTGATCTGCGACAGGCCATGGAGGTGGTAGGTGGCCCTGCGGGCTGGCAGAGTGGGACGGGGAGGCAGGTGAGCAGAAGCGGGGGCAGGGTGGTTTGTGGGCACTCGGCATCTAAAGGTTCGCCACCACTGGTCTAGGGACGCCGCTTGAAGGCAAAGTTGGCTAGAAGACCTCCAAGGTCCGTCTAACTCTATGTTATATTAAAATCTGGGATGATGCCTGAGGTGGTTACATAGGAACTATCTCACATACGACCCCACTGCCCAAAAAAAACCAAAACCCAAAATCCCAAACATAGCTCAGAACAAAAAGACCCCAACACGTAACAGTACGCGTACGTAAAATTTTGCTTTTTCCTGGGTACATCTTTAACAAACTTTGCTGCATTTGAAAATGGTTTTGCTTATTGCGTGTTGCCTGAACCTTAAGCCTTGGTATTTAAAATCTTTATGCTGTTGTGATTTTTTCATTTTTTATTTCTTCAATACATACATTGTAAAGCCACTCAGAAGCTTCAAGACTGGGCTGTGCAGGGATGTTTTTTAAAAAATAAAATGATGCCCTCTGTTTTACTTCATTTTTATTAAAAGACACATAAATGCGTTTTAATCAATCACTCAATCTCTGGAACTTTGGGAATGCTCTTAATCGTTTTAATGCTCCTTCTGAAATGTTATGGCTGGAATGTTACTTATTCACTCACAAATAGTAGATTTAGAAGATTTCTTCTATTTTTATATGGAAAAGAATGTTGTTTTTCTTGAACCTCTTGAACCACTACTACACTATAGCTACTTAGTAGAAGTGAGATGTGTTCATTGTTGATTCCTTCTAATGCAAACAAATTAAAATGCCTGTATTAATTAATTAAAACATAATTAAATCTGTTTTGAATATTTTACACACTAAACCCTTTGACGGCTTTGCGAAAAAAAAAAAAAAGTGGGGACCACACTTGTTTGGCATTCAGAAGGCTTCATTGTGATTCAGTTTGTTTTCATTGCTTCTAATTAATTAAATGGATAAATCTTACCAAAAATGAAGCGACAGCAAACTTTGTCGAATATAGTTCTAACAAGGAGAATATTTTGTAGCTCATTGTTTGAAATGAGGGGTTCTTGGTCGCTCTCTGAGGTTGGGGTGGTTTTCTTTCTTGCAGACATTTCATTACCCAAACTAGATAACATCAATCAGTGTTAGGGGAGGATGAGGAGGCGGAGGAAGACAGCTGTGGGTCCTTGGTGCTCTCTGAGCTTTGCTTGTTTTCTGCAGACGTTTCATTCCCAAACTAGGTAACATCATCGTGCTAGTCCTAAGAAACCAATTTATGAACTAGAATATATTCATAGTCTTGATCATGTCATCTGTGTGGATGCCGCTTCCGTAAATCTGTTTTCTGGGTCCTGGCATAAAAATTTTACTACCAGTTCTGCAAAGTGGTGCGACGCTGAATCCCACCAATGCTATGGTGTCTCTGACATCCTGCCTGACCTGAATTTTAAAAGGATGTTTTAATTATGTCCCATGGCTCTGCATGATCTATCAGAGTTGTTGTCATTGAAGTAGGACTGGACTGTCCGGTCCTTGTATGCAATCCCATCCTGTTTTAAACTTTTCAGTGATGAATTCCCCCCTCCCCCCGTTTTGAGAGCAGTTACTCCATTTATAATCCGTTTTAAGCATTGATAAT